TCTCTCTCTCTCTCTCTCTCTCTCTCTTTCTCTCTCTCTCTCTCTCTCTCCATTTTAACCTGAACATGTCAAGCTGAGCTTACGGTGAATATCCTTCCTCCAGAACCTTCTCTGAGCCCCAGTTCTTCTCTCTAGGGCTACCCACTGTCCCGGGCCACTGTTGTCTGTACAGTGAGAACAGACTGACGAGTAGCTAGGCTCATGACCATGAGTGTAAACATCAAGGAATCTTCCCCCAAAACAAAAGATGAGAAGGAAGAAGAAGAGGAGGAGGAGACAGCAGCAAATAGCAGCCACCCCCAGGGATTAAAAAAAGTTGGTCTGTGTAACCAGTTAACAAGTGCTATTGATGTCCAAGAGCAAACAGCGACGTTCGAACGCCGCTGTGTCCCAAACCCCGTCATAAATGAATGAATCGGTCAATGAATCCGGACATGTGGAGCACATTTTACTTGAGTCCCGTGGTCTGAAATCAAAGGAAAACTTCCGTGGGGAAGACAAACAGCGCAAAGGCTTTCTACATTTTTTTATTATTATTATTGTTTTTGGTGTTAAGGCCTGGAGCCTGATAACTGGATGAAATGAGGTTGGGCAAACACAGCACCAGGTGGCTCATTGTGTTTAATGAGAACATAAACCTCGGGTTTCCATTACGGCATTTAGCTGCCCGGGGTAGAAGTGTGGAGAGAGGGAAGGTATAAACAGGTGGACCCGCTTCTCCGTGTACCCAATAAAGTCTCGGAGAGAATTTTTCCCTGGGGAACCGGTAGCAAGGTACAACAAACTAAATTCTCTTTGGACACTCCGTCAAACTGATGGCTCACGAGGACTCAAGGCCCATCACAGATTGCTCCCTGCTGGTGACATGTAACAGTTTCCCAGGCACCTGCAGCCTGGCCGATGGCAATGTAGCTATGGCAGTCAGAGCTGATACCTCTCGAACCCTTCACCGCACGTCAAGCATCATCCTGGGACCTGGGCTTTGTTACCTCGTTTTCTTGACGGTGACTGCGCTATCTCTATAGTTCAGGGAAGGGAGGCTGCACGCTATCCACTCCACTGTCTACCATCTCTGGTGGTATCTTCAAACCCCAGGACCGCCCAGTCCGGCGTAGGGTAGACAGAGAAGGGCAGGTGTCCAGGCTAGTGAGAAAGAGAGCAAAGGACCCCAGGTAGGGAGGTTCACGGTATGTTGGAGGAACTCTCTGTGGTTCGCTACGGCAGAAGATGAGGCTGGAGGGAGCCGGGCCACAGGCAAACCTCTTCAGGTATTAAATGTTGCAGCGCGGTCCCCAGAAGTTCACTCCCACAGTGGCCAGGTCGTAGTCCTGAGACAAGAGCCAGGAACACAACCGTGTGGCGATAAGCACTCAGGCAGGGTAGGGCCTGACTGGCTGTGAGAGGACAGGCCTGTGGCTCCTGGTCATCTGTCCAGGAAAAGGCAGAAGACAAAAGAAGGGACCTTGCCAGAGAAGTCTCCCTCAGAACCCCATGGGGACAGTCTAGCTGCTTCTCAACACTGGCCTCAGAACCAGCTCTCATTGTCTCGGTAGGTTCCTCGGTCACACAGCAACTTCCTGTCTGGATCAACTTTGGGGAAGACTCTGAAATGTCAAGGCCTTCCCCATTCATCAAGGCCAACAGAGCCACCCAGCTCTCTACCCTTAGTCATAACTCAGGGTCAAGGGCCGCGGGGCATCCGATCTGTTCCTTGGCAGCCGACATTACCATATCCCTCCTGGTACAGAACCCCCTTCTCAGGGGGGGGACTTGGGCAGGGATTCAAGGAGAAAATGCTGCTTTCTCTGCTCTTGGGCCAGAGCCAAGATTTAATTTTTCATTTTCAAAAACATGAGTGGTCAGACCACAGCTTGGAAATGGAAACCATCCTATGGGCGGCTCGCTGTCTCCCACACTCTCCCACCTGCAGAGAAGGCAAGCCTCCAATGGGGTGGGGGTCAGCGTCCCAGCTCAGGGGTGCCTGGGGCCTCGGCACAGCTCTGGGTTCTCCACAGCTGCCTCTGTGACGGCATTCTCAGACTAGGCATGGCGCTGCCTATTGGTCTTCTCACCCCGGGGAGGCCGAGGCAGAAGGACAGAGGTGGAGGCTAGTTCCAGCTGTGTGGTGAGACTGTCAGACTAGTAGAGGAAGGGGACGGGGGAGGGGAGACTGAAAATATGGAGGGACCGGACGACAGGTGTGCAGCTGCATGTGCCGAGTGCCTAACGGTAAACACTCTACATTCTCCAGGTTTGAGCACGGCCAAGTCTTTTTGTCTAGAGAGAAAAAAAAAAAATGACATCATCAGTAACTTTACCCTCATGCCTGTGTTTCCTCCCTGTCTGGCCAGGTTTACAGACACTTTTAGGAGAGCGGGAAGCTTGGGAAGAGCACTACCCTTAGCAAGTCACAGGACCACGCTGCCCTTGATGGTCTCTCTCAGCATCTGCAGGGAATGGTCGCAGGCCCCTCATAAATACCAGTATTAATGGATGCCCAAGCCCTTTACGTAAATTATGTGGTAGTTACACAAGGCTTTAGCAACCTCTCCTGGAAGCGGTTCTCAACCTGTGGGTTGCGACCCCTTTGGCAAACCTCTATCTCCAAAAATATTTACATTACAATTCATAACTGTAGCAAAATGACAGTTATGGCGTAGCAATGAAAATAACTCTAGGGTGGTGGTCACCACAACATGAGGAACTGTGTCAGAGGGTCCCAGCATTGGGAAGGTTGCGAACCACTTGGCTAGACTGCGGGTGATGTAGGCAACCAATCCATGGAAACGCTGTGTGGACACTTGGACTGCCTCGCTTGAGGGATGAGGGCAATGTGAAATCATCAGGATGGTACCTTGTTCCCACACACTGCCTCTGCCACTGCTTCCACAGAGGACGCAGCCCGTGAGCACAGAGGGCAGCTGCGTTCTCTGGTGAGGCAGGCACTCTGCAGAGGAGCCAGCCTGGAAGGGGAAGAGCCTTTGTTCCCCCCACCACCACCACCACCACTTCAAGGAGAGAGAGGGTCTTGTGGCCCAGAGGACTAGAGTCACTTGGCCTTTGGTGAGGGAACACTCGACTGTTTTGAAAATCTTAGGTTCTGAAGTGCCAAGGATTGGCTTGTCTGAAACGGACTGAACCCAAGGACCAAAAGGGTGGCTTCCCATGCCCATGACAGACCAAAAGGGTGGCTTCCCATACCCATGACAGACCAAAAGGGTGGCTTCCCATACCCATGACAGACCCCAGAGGAATGGAATCGCCAAGGGACATGGCCTGTGGCTGGACCCTGGGAAAAAGACTGGCTGGAAAATTTGCAAGACCTGGTACACTGAACACGGGGGTTTCTTGCTCACAAAGTCTTCAGAATTTCAGCCCAGTGATGTCAGGAATCCGGGCATGGGACCCTCTGAAACACAGCACCCTGAGCTGTTCTCAGGAAACTGCCACGTCTGGCTTCACTCACAGTCCACCACAATTGTGTTTGGCCGTATCTTGGGCACTGTGGCCCAGCCAAGGTGAAACCCAACAAACCCTCACAGGAGGTGGACTTTCATGGCTGAGAACAGCCATGGGGAGCCCAGCTACGGCAGGCAGATCACCACTCCCGGGCAGCTCCACCACCCACATCCGAGGTGGACCAGCTGTCTGTGCCACTGAAGGAGTCTGTGCTCATCCACAAAGGCTGTGTCGGTAGCACGTCAGCCTCACAAATCATGGGGTCACTTTCCAGGGAGAGGCCTCAAAGATCATGGATGTACCTTGGAGTATTAAGCAGGACACTGAGCAAACCTTGGGGGCTAGGGGACTTGTATCATGTGATGTTGCTATTTTTGATTCAATGTCACTTTCATACAACCGGAGACTGTGGGAAGTTCTGCTTGCTATCACACCACCTTCTGCTCTATCAGAAATTATTCAGACCATTTTCTCCCACAGTGGCTGCTGCAATAGGCCTGGTCATCAGTTCAGATCCATTTGGTTGCAAAATAGAATTCACCCAAGTGGGGACACAGCTGGATGGCCATCCCCACATAGGCAGATGCAGACTGGGCATGCATCCCAGCATGCTGTCCTGTCAGCAGCCGCCATGGAAAGCAGAGAGGCCTTGACACTCCAAGGAGGCAGACCTAGAACTTAACACTAACTAGTTCATTAGCTGTGACTTGCATTGCGTGGCTTAACTTCTCCCATTTCTTTATACCCATCAGTACAACAGGAATTTTTGAACCAGAAGAAAATACTGTTTGCCTCATGAACCTCTAGACCATGAAAAGCTTGTAATCTAGTCCCCCTTCTGACTTGGCCCACTAGGAAGCTCAAAGGCCAATGCACAGTGTCTATTACACTCCATGAAGCCATGTGCTTCTTCTTGTTGCCCCATTTGCGAGCTATTTAGGGTCATGTGCACCTCGCTGGGCAAGGTGAGTTCCCCGGGTCTGATCTTCAAGTGCTCACAGACATGTAGATTCGGTAGTCAGTCCATGTGCTGAGTCAGGCCCTGGGCCGACTGTTCAGTCCACCCTTCCAATCAGGGGCTTGTGAAGCAGTCACTGGCATGCATTCCATCTGCAGACTCTGAAATGCTAAGGGGGCCAGAGAGACGACTCAGTGGGTAAAGGGGCTTGCTGTCATGACTGAGGACCTGAGTTTGAATCCCAGAACCTGCTTAGTAGTAGGAGAGAACTGACTCCCAAAAATTGTCCTCTGACCTCCATATGAGTGGTGCGGCTTACACATGCCCCACCACATGAAATAGATAGATAGATAGATAGATAGATAGATAGATAGATAGATACATAGATAGATAGATACATAGATAGATAGATACATAGATGATAGTTGATAATAGATGATAGATATATAGATGATAGATAGATAATAGATGATAGATAGATAATTTTAAAAAGAAATTTTCCCAAGTCTAAGAACATGAAAAAAATGGTACCAAGATTTGAGTCTGTGTCTGTGTCCTCAAATGCCCCGTCTCACCTTTCCATCACACTGTCAGAGGCAAGCAAAGAGACTGTATACTCCATCCCTGGGACCAGGCCTCCTCTCCTCCTGCATCCCCTCTGCATCCCTGCATCTCAGACTATCACTCTGCCTGAGGCGCTGCTGTTGGTGTCTGGATCCTTTGCAAAAAGACAGACTGGTAGGATGTGATGGTTGGTGTTAGTCATCAACTTGACAGAATCTAGAACCGTCTTTGAGGTCTTTGGACTCACATTTTGGGGGTTTATCTTGATCGTGTGAATTGATGTGAGAAGCCACAGCTTGAGGGTGGGCAGGATTATTCTCTGGGCTGGGATCCTGCATCGAAAATCAT